TATTTGGCACCATTTGAACTTTATGTATTATACAATTTAGCTCTCGTACACATTCATTTGCAACAATATGCATCTTCAAGCATATTTTTACAATCGGCACTAAGAATTGATAAAAAACATGCACAATCTTATTCATTATTAGGTACAGTATTGGAATAACATCAAATTGGTTTTATATTTGTAAAAGAAATTCTGTGAAGTGTAATTTTAATAGTATGAATGAATGATCATTTCTGTAATTTTATATTCATATTTTAGGTTTGACATTGGCGAAATTAAATGACGTTGATAATGCTATTCGCGCGTATGAGGTTGCTATTCAATTAGATTCCACCGACCCGACGACACATTTAAATTTAGCTGTTTTGCTCTTTAACACGACACAAAACAAACAACAAATCGATAAAACATTAAAAACCTTTCGAGAAGCATACGACAGAAAAGTTGATATTGAAGGTGCACGAGAAGTAGATGGAACGATGTTGGAAATTGCGACAAAACTAAGCGATGCTATGCAAACAAATAATACTCTAAAAATTGAACAACCAAAATCCTTGCCAAGATCGATTAAAAATTTTCAAGATATGCCACCACTAGCAAACGAAGATGAACCGTGGATGAAACCTGACAATTTACTACCATCAACCGAACGAGTACAACAACCAGCCGCTGACGATGATGAATTTCCAATTACATCTCCGAGAAGACAAATAGAGCCAGTAGTTGAACCGAAAAAAGAATTGCCAGTAATAAAAACAAAAATATTTGATGATGGAAGACGGAGAAAAACAGACAGAACACAAGTGACAGATAATAATAATAATGGAACAGCAGAAAGACCATCAGCTGTGCCGACCGATGATGATACGTTTTTCTAATACATTTTACTGCTTTACTGTTGTGATCAATTTGTGCAATTAACAATGGATTTTTTTTTATGCAGATAGTTGGTAACTTTCTTTTTTTGCTTAACGGTCAAAATGGCTGAATTTGCTTAGCAAATATTTACTTTTATTGATAGGTCAGCGTTTATATAGTTAATCAGGCACTCGTTACTTCTTTTGTGAATTTTGACAACGTAACGTTAGAAGAATATTCTCAAAAACTATTTTACCAACAAATCCATATGCAAAACAGCCATGACCTTATCTTTTTTGTGAATTAATAACTTGTTATTTTTCAAATATTTATTAATGTTGTCAATGTGTGTGTATTAACTTTTCGTCTTTAACATATATTTTAAAAAGAAATATTGTAAAGTCAAAAATAGATGCCATAAAAAGATCTGACTTACACGACGTACTACACACACAAAAAGTCATATTCGTAGCTAGTAACTTTTTCAGGCTGTTTTATTAGGAAAATAGCTATTACAGATTTGACTATTCGAGAGCTGTCCTTCAAATACTTTAGTTGTACAAGTATTTTAGAAGTAAATAATTTTGGACGACTACTTCTCTTCCATTCTCGTTTATCGTTCAATCGATACCTGTATCAAAGGAATATCACACACGTAGTTTAAATTTACTTTGACAAAAATTAATGAATCTAATGACGGGTCAAATATTTGTTAAATGTTATACTTAAAATACTTCTGATTTAAATCAACAAAAATCATTACAATAATCTTCTTTAATTATCGCAGAAAATGTTTTAAAACAAGCCAACACGTATATTCTTCAATAACTAATGTCGCCTTATCTTTTAAANTCGATACCTGTATCAAAGGAATATCACACACGTAGTTTAAATTTACTTTGACAAAAATTAATGAATCTAATGACGGGTCAAATATTTGTTAAATGTTATACTTAAAATACTTCTGATTTAAATCAACAAAAATCATTACAATAATCTTCTTTAATTATCGCAGAAAATGTTTTAAAACAAGCCAACACGTATATTCTTCAATAACTAATGTCGCCTTATCTTTTAAATGCATCAAGTGATAGTCTTGTGTCGTCAAGTGAATGGCAAACACCTCTTCAAATCCCATCTTAGTTGTGATCATTGTTCAATGTAAATCTGACCTTAGGAATTGTGATAATCGATCTCAATCTTCATCGAGAAAACGACGACATCTTGTCCCAGAGTTCGAACTGATCGGTAACGGATGAGCAGTTAATTGCCGATTCGATCCAACTGAACTTTTCATCGATCTTTTACTGATTTAGCAACTAAAAAGAAACGCATGTACCTTCTTTCATTTTTTTCATGCAAATTCCAAAAATATAAATAAGACTGACTTTTTACTTTCAAATAAGAATGTCTACAATGTTGTTGCGCATTGCATATTGTTAAAATGAGTAAAAGTTGTCAAAAGAAAGTTGCTTATGCTGCAGCCAAAATTTTCTATATCCCACACGCAAGTCGATAGCATCAACTCGATACACTTCGAAGCTCGGTGTCGATAAATGCCTTTACTTTCACTACTTGAAAGAGCTCAAAAAGACGGGTACATAGGACACGCAGTTTATTTTAGAAAAAAATCAAACTTTTTCTACCAGTTTTTACCAATTTACAAAAAGATTTTAATCGGCCATAAATGCTGGTTCGATCCGAGTGATTGTTTTTCAAACGGTTACGACTCTGTCAAGCCAAAATATTAGGAAATGTGATACAATACAATGGAATTGACAGTCTCATTGATATGCTTAACAAAGCACTTTTGGAAGAATAAAATACAATCAAAACATTGTGGAATCTAAGTACGAAAGTGTTCGTCAAAAACTCGCTAACTTCGGAGGATGAGTTGTTGTTCTGTTCTTCTTCTTAATATTAAACTACTTGTATTCATTTACGAAACATAACGAAGCATGTTTCCATTAACACTACATATCGAGTTTCCCAAAATGTTTGCGATATTTTTTATTTTGCATATATCTCAGTACAGAAAAATAATAAAATCTTCAAATTTTTTTAAAAGATGCGCAATTCAATTCTGTACAAACTTCTATTTATCCCAATTTAAAATAATAGAATTGAACGTATTTATAGGTCACAGAGTGTGATGATATGGATTGCATCTATTTCCCACACATTTTTACTATGTTTTCACCGATTTTTTTCAAGTTTTAAGGCGTGTAAAAAACGAATTATTTGTAATACGATTGAATATCAAACCCTAGTAAAAATCTTAGACACTTCTTAAAATTATCTTACTCAGATCTTATAAGACCTTGACGTTCTGAACTGCCAACGGCATCTCATCGGTTAAAGTTCTAAACACTCAACTGCATCGTTCGGAACTGTCAACGTAGTATGTCGTTAGATATTGTTATATTGCAGTTCAATATAAGTAGAGAGACACAGCACTAATCATCTAAAATAGCTGTTATTCCTTAAAAATAATTGAAGAAAAGAGGCAGAAAGCGTAAAAAACAAGTAAATCTCTTAAACATTTTTGGTAGACAAGCGATCATTGCCCCAATCACTCTTTCGCTGAAAAAATGATGATATCACTAATTTAAGAATCTTAGTTTAGATTTCGACTGATAAAAGTACTGTTGACAGTTCCATAGTGGGCAATTTTCATTAGGCATGTGGTCTTTTGGCCTGCAAGCTAGAGGAAAACTTAAAAGCGCGTTTTTTATAGGTTATCTTGTGTGCTCTACCTAATGGAATGCTTGTTAAGTTCTAAAAATGTTTTCTAAGCAGTTTTTCAGAGACCCGTTCTCTAGAAACCCACTTAGAAAACCTTTATGAAACTCAAAAACAATTGGATTGGATAGAGAATCATCGATAACCTATAGAAATAGTGTTTAGACGATTTCATCTGTTGATAATTTCGAATTTTAAAATTTCAATCAAAAATCCCTATACACATGCAAGAAACAAAGGAATCAACTAAATTCAAACGTTTCTGTATAAACACAACTGAGTTATGCACCATTCGACGCAGTTTTTTGCGCTAATTCCAAATACAGTATTGGTTTTTAATTTCAGTGTTCCTGAACTGAGATAATCCGGATTTATTTCAACACAAGAGTTTTCGAAAACTTGTAACTCGATCTGGAAGCATTTGCGCTAACGGCATCGATGTATCGTTAGCAGATGCATCTTCTGGGAAAATTTCATTGAATATGGAGCCTGGCTAAACTTGTCGCACTCACTGTACCTAGGACCGCTCGTCGGCAAACACTTAGCAAAGAAAAAAACATTATTTTCTCAGTTCGAGATGGTCCCCAAAAAAACCTTTTTTACGAATAGACAGAGTGAAAAGTCTAGTTTCGAACTATGTATGATTTTTACAGTTATCATGTTCTGTTTTACTAAAAATGATTCTTCTATCTTCATCGTTCTGCTTTCCGGCAAAAACTTTCTTAACGATTTTCTAATTAATTATGGCACCTAGAAAAAAACTTCCAATGCCAAAAAGACAGAGCGTATGCTGAAATGTAGGACCTGCTACTCAAATCTTGAAAAACTACACTTTCGTTTTTTCACCTAAATATGATGTGGTTGCAGTGAACAGCCACATCACATGTCAGTTCCATATGATGCTCTATATGGCTTTCCAGGAAATCGGATGCGTTTCCGGAAATCAAACGGGTTTCTAGGAAACCAAACTAGTTCAAACACACACACTCACACAATATTTATATATCAGACACATGTACAGGGTTAATCGTATCCAGCGCGGCGGGGGGAGGGGGGGAAGGTGAGAGTGAATTCGAAAAGTAGTTGTACGAGGTGCTCTTTACGTTGTGAGATTTGCGAAGGTGAACTGGAATGAAAAAGCTAAACAAGTTGTTGAAATCTTCGTATATTGATGTGAAAAATAAATGATAGTTTCACTACTTTGTGCTTATTCCTTGACTTATAACTTAGCACTAGTTTTTCGATATCATGTTTTCTTTCTCGCTAGAATATACTCCCATTTCTATGGCAAACACTATGACGTTAGATCAGATTGTTGAAAAGTACATGAGTATCTTTCGTAACAGCCTCTCTGATAACTAGAGAATTCTATTGCTACTTGGGAATTTGAGGATTTTGCAAATCCAGAATTCTATTGGTAGTTGAGAATTTCATTATACTCATTATACCGATTATGCCGCTTATGTCCGCTATGTCCATTATGTCGATTATGCTGATTATGTCCAATATGCCTAATATGCCCATTATGCCGATTATGTCTACTATGTCCATTATGCCCATTAAAGATCTCTTGTGATTATTCAGGGAATCAAATTAGTTTCCTGGGAAACTAATACAAAGCATCAAATCTACTATTAAGACACTAATAGATTCTTAATCAATCTCGAAAAAATCTTATAAAAGTTCTTACCAAAAGTTCTACCTAACGGGTGGGCCAGAAATAATGACACACTTTTGCGCAATTTTCTTCCGAGCACAACTGAGGTTCGAAGATTCCATTCTAAACTCATTCGATAGAGAATTTTCTGATCGACAAAATCCATCACCTTCTTTCATTACATATTATTTCATTATTTTAAAAAATAGTACAGAGCTAGGTCAGGTAAGAAGAATAACTGCGATGAAAGGAACAGGTTATAATTATTTTTGTACTTGACCTAATTCATTATTTAATAACGTTTCTGGTAGCTATTCATCACACGTATTTTGCGTAAAGAATTTGTCTTCATTTAATTAATCTGCATTGAGAAATAAAATTTTTTCTAACATTTTGCCACCAAAAACGGATGATACTGAAAGGTCCAAAAAAACGGCCCGTTAACGGCCAGTTAATCTCCAGTAAACGGTCACACAAAAAACGGCGCGTTAACGTTATGAAAACGGCAAAAAAACATCCAGTAAACAAGTCGTTAACTTGCCGTTTTCAGTGTGGCCGTTTCACGGTCCAAAGATCGTCTGAAAACGTCCATGGTCAGAAAACGGTTACCGTTTACTGACT